TTTGTTCTACCCACATGACTCTGGTCATTCTGGTATGTTTATGTGTGCATTATCTGTTGGTAACTTTAGTGTATTAATTGTATAAATGCTGCATTTACCATCAATTTCAAAGCACAAAAATATGGACGAACAGTTGGCTTTCTAAATATGCTTTTCCATGTAGTTTTACCAGGTTCTTGTGCTTCCAGGTAGCATAGACACTTCGTTGCTGCTTATGCTGTTCTGGTGCTTCGCTGGACTGGCTGTTTTGGGCCTGTTATCCAAGCGCTATGGGTTCCAGTCCCTCACTGTCGCCATCACCCTGCGCTGCATCTATCACTTTGGCATCGGGCCAACTCTCATCCTGCTGGGGGCTCTCAATGTAAGTCTGACATACCATAATACTATATGTTTGCTTAAATAAAAACGAATGGATTTAATTCAGAATTTCTCTTTTTAACCAGCTGATCAATAAGATAGTGTTTGTGGTGAGCTTTGTGGGAAACAACGGCACCTTCATCATGGGCTATAAAGCCATGGTAATGGATGTGGAGTTCCTGTACCACCTGGCCTATGTGTTAACCAGCACGCTGGGGCTTTTTGTCCACGAGCTCTTCTACAGCATATTGGTGGGTGTTAAAAAATGTATATATAAAAAAAAAGAAGAAATGAATACTTTAATTCAGCAACGATGCATTAAATTGATCAAAATGTTACATAGTTGCAAAACATTTCAAATAAATGCTGTTCTTTTGAAATTTCGATACATAAAAAATGAAAACATTTTTACGGTTTACACCAAAATATTAAGCAGTACAACTGTTTTATGTTGATTTTACACTACATTCAATATTTTAATAATAAATAATTTGTTCTTGAGTATCAAGTCAACATATTAGAATAATTTCTGAAGGATCATGTGACACTGAAGACTGGTGTTGATGACTTTAAATTCAGCTTTGGCAGCACAGGAATAAATTAGATTTTAAAATATATTAAAATAGAACAAAAATAGCAATAATATTTAACAGTATTGTTGTTTTACTGTGTTTTGATAAAATAAATCCAGCCTTGGTGAGATTTCTTCCAAAAACATTTAAAAATCGACCCCAAGCTTTTGTACGGTAGTACAAAACTGTAGCTTAATTGTTTACTTTTTGCTTTTCTGCAATGTTTTAATCGTCAATATTGTAAATATGCCACAAAACGTTTGCCAAGCACCAAATGCCAGGAAAATAATTTTTGGTGAGTAAATAAAACTGAGATGCTGTACTCACCAGTGAAAATCTAATGGTTTTTAAATGAAATGAGAAACTGTGACATGATTTTGTATGACTGAAATACATAAATATTCTGCTAATCATTTCTCACTTCTCTTTTACCTCCTTAAGCTGTTTGATCTGATCTACCGCGAGGAGACGCTCTTTAATGTCATCAAGAGTGTGACACGTAATGGCCGCTCTATTCTCCTCACTGCTGTCTTGGCCATCATCCTTGTCTACCTGTTCTCCATCGTGGGCTTTCTCTTCCTCAGGAATGACTTCATCATGGAAGTGGACCGTCTTGCTATCCCAGATACAGGTAAATTGCATACACCTCTTTTTATCTTTGCTGTGTGTCACAAGGCCGTCTGAATAGTTTTTTGCAGAAAGGCATCAAACCCTGCGTTCATGATTTGAATTACAACATACCATTTTTTATTTATTGATGCCACAGGCTTAATGGCGTGTTTTGTCCTATAAGCAGGTACAGATAACTCTATGAGCAGCTGCAGTGCTGATGGAGTGGAGTGCACAGAGGAAACTAGGTTGCTTGCATCATCAGAAGGTGAGTTTGGCATTAAAGACAATATTTTATATTACTCTACTGGCATCAGAACTCAGCTGTGAACACTTTTTTAATGTCTTTGCAGAAGAAGAGGACAACACAGAGAGAGCATGTGACACTCTTCTAATGTGTATCGTTACGGTGCTGAATCATGGGCTGAGGAACGGAGGAGGTGTGGGAGATGTCCTGCGCAAACCCTCTAAGAATGTATGGAGACCCACAATCATATAGGAATGTGTGCATGTAGGAATACAAAACCTAACCAAACTAATACAATGTTGTTCAACTTACAGGAGCCTTTGTTCCCTGCTCGTGTGGTGTACGACCTTCTCTTCTACTTCATTGTCATCATCATTGTTCTCAACTTGATTTTTGGTGTGATTATTGACACCTTTGCTGACCTGCGTAGTGAAAAACACAAGAAAGAGGAGATACTGAAGACCACCTGTTTCATCTGTGGTAAGAAATTAGATTTAAATATATTTTAAAGTGTTTATTCCTGTGATGGAAAAGCTGAATTTTCAGCATCATGATCATTCAGAAATCATTCTAACATGCTGATTTGCTGCTCAAGAAACATTTCTTATTATTATCAGTGTGGTGCTTAATATTTTGTGGAAACTTTTTTATAGATAGAAAGTAAATAATAGAAATTTATAAAAGGCATTTATTTGAAATACATTATTTTTGTAACAATATTAATGCATTTATTGTCACTTTTGATGGATGTAATGCATCCTTGCAGAATAAAAGTGTTGTTTTTTTTATCTTACTGACCCCAAACTTTTGAATTCGCGTTGATTTATTTTTCACAATTAAGCACATTTCCAACACTGTTTACTGCAATGCAAAATGGATTTTTGTTATATTTTCATTACTGTAATTTTCAAACAGACACAATTTGAACATTCCTTAATACAGGCTTTATTTTATTTTTGCAAAATATAATTTCTTACTTTATTTGTTGAGTGTGAAAAATGACCCTAGTATTCCTTAACAGGCTGTATGACAGTCAAATACAAATCATCAGAGAACATTACAGAAAAGAATTGATCTGTATTTGCATTTCAACAGGTCTCGAGAGGGATAAGTTTGATAATAAGACTGTATCATTTGAGGAACACATTAAATTTGAGCATAACATCTGGCACTACCTCTATTTCATTGTGCTGGTACGGGAGAAAAACAAGACAGATTACACTGGCCCAGAGAGCTACGTGGCCCTTATGATAAAGGTAAATTAATAAAAATGAAAAATTCCAGCTGTTTGGATACTGGTCACATTCTATATATTAACAGCAATTACCACTGTTATTTCCAATGTATTATTTCTATGCTTTTATATTATTGATTAATACTATGAATAGTCTTTTTTCTTTCATTTTATTTGAATGAATTTTTAGTTATTTAGTTATTTCTTTTGGTCATTTTTATTATTATTATTACTATTATTTTTGATATTTCTATTTCGCTTTCATTTATTTAATTCATTCTTGCTTCTCCTTGCAATGGGTTTTGATTCAGTCTTGTTGTCGCCTCTTGTTAGAATAAGAACCTGGATTGGTTCCCACGCATGCAGGCCATGTCTCTGGTTGTAACTGAGGGAGATGGAGAACAGAATGAGATGAGGAACCTGCAGGATCGTCTCACCTCCACCATGAAAGTGGTCACACAACTCACAAGCCAGTTAACAGAGCTGAAAGAGCAGGTACATTTATCAATGTCAGCACTGTTTGTCCAGCATTAATAATGTTGGTACATTAAATTGATTAATGTCTCAGATTTTAGATTCTAAAATAACGGTTGTGTATTTGTTCATTTAGATGACCGAGCAGAGGAAGAGAAGGCAGAGGATGGGTTTTGTGGATGTTCAGTCTGGCTCAAACCCTGGGATGCCTATGCCTCCTAGTGCTGCTGGAGGAAATCTTCAGGTCATCAAGACCTAATTTCTCCAGCTAACCTTGCATTGACTTTATAGAAGCAATAATGTAATCCTGTGATGCTGGTGTACTTCCCACTGTGGAAAAGTTGCATTCAACGGATAGACGGATTGGATCTACACTCCCACAAAAGCACTACTGACTAAATAGTCATTCTTTGAGGGGCCTTTGATTACCTGAATGGTTTTAGTATGCACAAATTTTATATATTTAAAGTATGTCATTGTTTTGTTTTTATTTTTCTAAGCAGTCTTTGGTTAAGATATTTGAAATCTTCTTTTCAAAACTCTTATTTGATGTATGGATAAATGTAGCATTACTGTAAGTAAAGCTGATGCGTTTTAGATAGATAACGAGTAATTGTAGATCAATACAGTCGGATGGTTTGTTTTAATGTGCACTGATGAGTTGGATACCTGGGAGCACATGCTGTATTTATAGGGATAGTCATGATGCACTGGCTTGATATGATTGTGAGATGATTTGGGAAACATGAAGGGGGAATATCATGACCATTCTTATGATGAACTAGAAGATGCTAACATGTCACTAGAGTCAAATCTGGGTAGTATAAATGGCATAATGTATAGAAGTGTGTTTAAAGTTCATACAGCTTTAATTTAAAAGTCAAAGTGCCTAAAAATGCATCAAAAGAACATAACTTTTGCTCAGGAAACTAACATGTTCCTTATTTATCTTATCATAAAAATAAGTGAGGACATGCTGATCGTGGTTTTAATAGACATAGATCTATGAATGTGTCTATTTAATTATTTATTGTGCGACCAGGACTAAGTTGTAAGTCAGTTGCATTTTTATGGCCACAAAAAGAATGCTGGAACATACTTATATTTTGGCTTCGTTAATAACAGCCAGTGTGTAATTAATCATATTGACATCAAATAATCATCAATTTATTGCTATTATTGCTAATATGTTGATATGAAGTGCCTCACCAACTTTACACAAAATACAAAATAAAACATTTGGTTATTTGACGTCTTGTATCATTTAACATTAACAGACTAAGAGAATCGAATGAGTCACATTACTACGATATTACTATAATAAAATGTTACAAAAATCAATAGAAATTCGATTAATTTGAAACATTGCAATGACTTTTTATTCTTTTCCAAACAAAATAAATGATATCTTCCAAAGTAAACAGTCGCGTGAATGTCCATTGATTTGTCTTGTGTCAGATTACGTCCCTCTGTCACGCACACTTCACAGTATTAGGGTGTGAGCGGAGTGACTGGCGGGATCAATTCCTTCGCTGTTCGTTTGAGCGTCAGGTGCCGTTCAGAAGTTCGTCCTCAGTGCAGGTCAACAGGTAGGCTAATGTTTTTCAGAATATTAACGCAATATTTACATTTAAACAATGTGTATCAAATAAATTTACAACGAATAGGCTGTAAGCTAAAACAGGTAAAACGTCACTCTGGAAATGGGAATTGCAGTCATGTAAATGAGCTAGGCCTACTTTACTCCAACAGACAGAAGATCAGTCTCAGAAATAAGGCTAAAGTTGTTCAACTTCTTTCTTTTGTTTTATAGAAATATAGAAGTGTTTCTTTTTTTTATCCTTTTTTGATGCTGATAAGTGAAGTTTAATGAACCTAAAACCACTTGAATAGGAAAACCACATCTTGCTACCACAACTATTAGACCGCTGAAAGATAGGCTATATAGGAGTTTGTGTGTATTTATTATATATTCTAATATATAATAAAATATAATATAGGCTAATATATTATTACAATACAGACCTATAATTGTTTGTTGTTGTTATTATTGTTGTTATTAACAAAGATGTCATCTATAGGCTACTGTAGCCTAATATCAATTAACTCTTTCGACTCTTTCGTTTTTGTTGGCCAATAATAATACTTTTTTACGTTTAGCCTATACGTTTTATAAGGTTGATACTTTTCGGTACGTGTAATCTAGCTTTTATCAATGTAAGTGACGTCAGTGTTTTAACTTTGAGAACGGAGTGCTGAGGAAAGCGAGAGTCTGTGGGTTCCAGATAAAGCGCGGTATCGGCCGCACCCAGGTGCCCCGCGCCCTGAAACCCACTGCTCAAAATTTAGATTAGGGTCACTTTATAGGTTCTTTAAGGACCTAATTATCGATATTATGTAACCTAATGAATAATTTAGCTGGGTATCTTTCTCATAAATCTATCCTTGACAATGTTGTTACAGTATGGAAAAGTATATTTTTCACATAGTCTATAGCCTCATTTTTACCCCACTGACCATCTTTTTCGTTGTTTACAGCTGTTAAAATCATGTCTGCTTTTCTGCATCACTGCCCCTTCTTGAAGTCCACTCCAGGCCCTTCTCTAAGGAATGTGGCAGCGTACTTTGGATTGGCTGACCGATGTCCGATCATTGTCCGCCAGATCTCTGTAAAAGCCACCCAGTCCTCTGAGGAAAAAGGTAATGCTGTTACTTTTGTATTTACCATACTATATTACTGTAAGGTTTTTTATACCAGGTAGGTTACAATATGACAAAAAAATTCCATATTATTATAATTAAAATCTCATTGGCAACAAATATTGTAAGTCAGTAGTCAGTACCTCAGATTATCTTCTTATATTTATGTGCTTATTGTGTTCAGGCCTCCTCTCTCATAAGGAGCCAAGGCGGCAGTTGGCGACCACAGCCACTCAGGTGGCGATCTCCATGTCCCAGAGCTGTCCCTTTATTTCCTCTAAGATTGGACTAGTTAAAGCCAGTCCACAAGTGCAGGAGGATGTCCAGCCCAATCTTGAGAATCAAGATAACTCTGGTAAAACAATCCCTCTCAGTGTGATAGATTCATGGACTGTGGATATGTGTATATATAATGTTTATATTGCTTGAGAAGCAGATATCATCTAGCTGACTGGCTGATGTGTTGCAGCATCTGTCTCTTTTTTTAACCACCACAGTATAATTAGTACGCTGCTGAAGAGTCTCTTTTATCTGAGCAGTGTATCATGCAGGAGTTGGATGCATTTTACATAATAACACCCAGCTTGGAGGCCATTCTCCTCTCTGCAATTTGCACCATTTAACTCCAATTTGAGAGACTCCTCAGCTGTGAATAGTAAGCGGATGATGACTCAGACTGCTGATGTAACAAATGCCAGTCTTCAGACAATCACATTACAGATGAAACTTCACAAAGCCGCATGTGTACTAGAAAATAACATCTAATTGGAAAATTGTCGTTTTTGGGTTTCATAGCCATATCACGTTTGACAGTTAATGTGCGTAGCCTGTACTTTAAAGAAAATATATGACTTAAACAATGGCGTTAAATACAAAACACTTTGATTTTCACTCTGTTTTCACACTGAAACAAAGCAAAAATCCTTAATTTTGTGTTTGTTTGATGAATTTTGGTGCCCTTTTTCTCCAGGCTTGATGAGCTCGCTGTTCCGTGGCTTGCAAAGTCATCAGTCCACTGGTCCTACACACCTTCTTGAAGACAACTTTAGTGAGTTTGACTGCATTTTTCTTAATGTTTTACAGTAGTATAAACCATACACTCTCAGAAAATACCAAATAACAACTTGTCACTGGGGCAGTACCCTTTCAAAAGATAATAAAAATGATATATCGACTTTAGGTACTAATATGTACATTTAAAGTACTAATATGTACCTTTTAAGGTACTATCATTTACGTTATTACTATAGTACTACTTAAGGGGTAAATTAGATACAAAGACTTATAGCTTTTGTACCTTAGGGTATCGCCCCAGTGACATTTATACCTTTTTTCTGAGACTGTACTGCTGTTTCTGCAGTATTAAGTACACTGTGAACAGTATGCGTATTGAACATCTATTTATTTGACTTGGACTGCCAAAAGGTACACTTTTTTTTTTTTCTTTTTTGAAAATATCTGTGTGAACTAATGGAACAATAATATGGCATAATGTGGAATAATGGATGTTGAGTAAAAGCTAGGTAATTAGCGAATCGATCCGAGACTGTTGTGTTTTGTTACTGTACACTGTATCTGCAGCACTTAAGTAGTGCCTGTCTTCTTTTATTCCTGTCTTTCTTCCTCACTTATTGACTGATGATTGCCCATTTGCTTTTTAAATAATTCAGCCAGACCCAGTTTCAACTACGATGACTTCTTCACTCAGAAGATTGTGGAAAAGAAGAATGACCATACTTACCGTATCTTTAAGACGGTGAACCGTTTTGCAGAGGTTTTCCCTTTTGCTGAGGACTATTCCATCCCTGGACGCTTGGGCTCCCAGGTGTCTGTATGGTGCAGTAATGATTACCTGGGCATGAGTCGACATCCCCACATTGTCAAGGCCATAGGGTCAGTACATAAAACAGACAATTAAATAAATGTTTGCCATCATATGTTATTATAAATGGAGAAGAACAAATGAAGGTGCAGCAAAATACACTAACTTATGTCTTATTAAATACTGTATGTGTATTTCATAATATGATAAAACAGTATGCTTTTAAGTTTCTTAATGTTTGACTTTGGATATACATAGCTGCTAAAACAAACTAACTGAGTAATCACAACCTTTTAACGTTCCTTAGAGAGGCTTTGCAGAAGCATGGTGCAGGAGCAGGTGGCACCCGAAATATCTCTGGGACGAGTAACTATCATGTGGCCCTGGAGAGTGAACTGGCCCATCTACACCAGAAAGATGGAGCACTGGTCTTTTCTTCCTGCTTTGTAGCCAATGATTCCACCCTCTTTACTTTGGCTAAAATGCTCCCAGGTATCCAACAAAACTGTTATGACCTGCCTGTTCTTACTGAATGTGTGAATGAATGAATTTATGAAATTTATGAACTATACTGCTATTAAATTTAAAAATATTTTCAATATGCAGTACTGTTCAAAAGTCTGGTGTTGGTACAATTTTTAATGGTTTTGAAAGAATTATTTGATCAAAAATACACTAAAAAATTATTATAAAATATTATTAAAATAAATGTTTTCTAATTTAAAAATAGCGCACTGTTTAATATATTTGTTAAAACTGCCTGACGTTTTTTCAAGATTCTTTGATGAATACAAAGAAAAAACAGCATTTATCTGAAATGTTTTGTAACATTGTAAATGTATTTATTGTCACTTTTGACCAATTTAATGCATCCTTGTTTAATAAATGTGACCCTGGACTACAAAACCAGTCATAAGGGTCAATTTTTCAAAATTGAGATTTATACATCATCTGAACAAATAAGCTTTCCATTGATGTGTGGTTTGTTAGGATAGGACAATATTTGGCTGAGATACAACTATTTGAAAATCAGGAATCTGAGGGTGCAAAAAAAATGTACATATTGAGAAAATTGCCATTAAAGTTGTCCAAATGAAGTCCTTAGCAATGCGTATTACTAATCAAAAATTAAGTTTTAATATACTTACAGTAGGAAATTTACAAAATATCTTCATGGAACATGATATTTTCTTAATATCTTAATGATTTTTGTCATAAAAGAAAAATCGACAATTTTGACCCATACAATGTATTTTTGGCTATTGCTACAAATATACTTGTGCTATTTATATGTATTTTCTGAAATTCCACTAAAACATCTTCTCTCTGCAAAGGCTGTGAGATCTACTCAGACATGGGTAATCATGCCTCCATGATCCAGGGCATCAGGAACAGTGGGGCCAAACGCTTCATTTTCCGACACAATGATGCCAGTCATCTGGAGGAGCTGCTCTGCCGCTCAGATCCACTCACACCCAAAATCGTGGCTTTTGAGACTGTTCATTCAATGGATGGTAAGTAGAAGGAGCTATCACATAACTGACTCAAAAGAGATTGTTTCTTAGTATTGTAAAATAGGGCTTGGCACCAGCAACGCCATGGTCATGGGTTTGATTCCTAGGGAATAAATTAACCGAAATTGTGTAAAACCTTTAATGCAATTTAAGGCACTTTAAATAAAACCATCTGTCAAATGCATACATATATATATAAAATGGTAGGTAACTTGCAGAAATGCAAAAAAATTCTGCAGTAAAAAATAGGGAAAACAAGTGCACTTACTTTCTCCTTATTAAACAATGCAAAAAAATTATTAGTCAAAAAACATCATGCACATGAAATGAAGACTCAGTCATATCAATAGCCAAATATATGCTGTTGTTTTTTTTTTTGTATGTGGAGCGAGTCACCTTATTGGGTGTCCATTTTTTTAAAAAATTACATGTCCAGACAAATACTACTCGCTTTATCTTCGCAACCACCCTTTTATCAGACACTTTGGCTTGTGGAATAAATTAATCATTGTCAACTGATAATAGTGCATTTCTACACTTCATCTTTAACTGAAAAATAACTTGTTTCTCAGGTGCAATTTGCCCTCTAGAAGAGCTATGTGACATAGCACATAAATATGGAGCTCTGACTTTTGTGGACGAGGTCCATGCTGTCGGACTGTATGGGGCTCACGGAGCAGGTGTAGGAGAGAGAGACAACGTCATGCACAAGATCGATATTGTCTCTGGAACTCTGGGTAAGACAGATACAGTCTATGATTCTATCATTGAATCATTGCATGCATGATCACAGCATGATTCTATCCTGTAATTTCACCCGTGTTCTTGCCTCTCAACTTCTCTGATATTGTCACCTTAAATCTGCTATTTCAGGTTGGAAATGCAGCAAAAAACTCTCAGGTGTGTGACATTCTGTTGGAGAAACACAACATCTATGTGCAGGCCATAAATTACCCAACAGTGCCTCGTGGAGAAGAGCTGTTGCGGTTGGCTCCTTCTCCTTTCCACAATCCCATTATGATGAAATATTTTGTAGGTGAGTGGTCATGCAATATGGTCAACTCTATTTCTTTTCACTTTAAAGGTGAAGAGTTTCATTTCTGAACCGCTAGTGCCACTAGAATAAATTAATCATTGTCAACTGATAATAGTGCATTTCTACACTTCATCTTTAACTGAAAAATAACTTGTTTCTCAGGTGCAATTTGCCCTCTAGAAGAGCTATGTGACATAGCACATAAATATGGAGCTCTGACTTTTGTGGACGAGGTCCATGCTGTCGGACTGTATGGGGCTCACGGAGCAGGTGTAGGAGAGAGAGACAACGTCATGCACAAGATCGATATTGTCTCTGGAACTCTGGGTAAGACAGATACAGTCTATGATTCTATCATTGAATCATTGCATGCATGATCACAGCATGATTCTATCCTGTAATTTCACCCGTGTTCTTGCCTCTCAACTTCTCTGATATTGTTTGAAATATCTGTAGGTAAGGCATTTGGCTGTGTGGGTGGTTACATAGCCAGCACTGCCGCCCTGGTGGACACTGTGCGCTCCTACGCTGCCGGTTTCATCTTCACTACCTCCTTGCCTCCCATGGTGCTGGCGGGGGCTCTGGAATCGGTGCGTGTGCTGAAGAGCCCAGAAGGCCAAGCTTTGCGCAGAGCCCATCAGAGAAACGTCAAACACATGAGACAGCTGCTGCTGGACGCTGGACTGCCTGTGGTCAAGTGCCCTAGCCACATCATTCCCATTCGGGTCAGTGTTTGCAAAAACCATTTTGTCCTTAATGGGATAGTTCACCCAAAAATTAAAATTCTGTCATCATTTACTCACCCTCATGTCCTCATTCCAAACTGCTCGATCCATATGTAATTGTTTTATAATGCCTTTATGACTATGCCTTTTTGGATCTACTAAATTTTGGTTACCTGAACTTTCAGTGTAGGGACAGAAACCTCACAGTTTCATTAAAAATATCTTAATCTTAATGTTTCTAAGATTAACCGAAGTCTTATGGGTTTCTAGCGACATGGGTAAATAAATGATCATTTTCATTTTTGGGTGAACCGTTCAGTCTAGTTATCAAAT